TGTGTGTGTGTGTGTGTGTGTGTGTGTGTGTGTGTGTGTGTGTGTGTGTACTTGTGTGCTTCTCTATAGCCGTGTGTTTGTGCAAAGCTGGAATGTGAATCATATTGATGCCTTCATTTCATTTTAATCTTAAATATCTGCCAAAAATGACTTGTTGATTTAGCTTGTTTGAAGTCTTTTATCTTATTTACTCCGATAAAAATTTGCAAGTCATTATCAATCATTTTATCATTATAAAAAGAATGCAGAATGCATGGCTTGTAATAAAAATACATATTTAATTAAATAATTTAATTAGAATTGTTTTAATTAATATATAGCATAATTAATGGCCAGTACGAATTATAATTTTTATAATTATAATTATAATTTTTAATTAAAATAATTGTATTAAATTGTTATTTTAATAGTAATAATAATAATGATTATTTTATGTATATATACATTTCTTACAGCCCTGCATTATACATTACTACTTCATTTTATTATAAAAAATTCTTATATTATATAATATTTTTATTAAAAGTGTAGTTTTGTTCCTATGACAGATAAATATGTATATATATTTCTTACAGTTTCTTACCGCATTTTTTAAATTTTATTATTGCATTAGTTTTATTAAAATTTGATTAAAATTACAATATTTAAGTATACAAAGTGTATTTTTGTTTGTTTTGGCAATTGAACCCTGAAGCCTATCTGTCTTGAATGTTTAGGCATATTAACATATTTAAAAACAACAACAAAAAAATGTGGCATCCCAGGTAAACTTCTGCAGGTAAATACTGTTCGAGCTGTGGCAGATTATTAGATTTAATTTGCAAACTGCTTTTATGTCTTTGAATCACTTATGTGAGGGTCAGATTTAGTTCTTACAGCTTGATTTAACCCATGTGTTATGTTGTAGATCTTCATAAAGCTGTCTGGCTAGTTGCCGGCCAATTTCTATTCTTGTTTGGTGTCTGATGTGTTCATTTTGGATGCTTTCTGAGCCTTTATGTTTCTATTATTTTTGGATGTTGGGATATGGATGAGCTGATAACGTTTGGTCATGTTTTCTTTAACTCTAATGCCCACTATCTTTAGAGAAAGAGTTTCATGAAGTGAAGGCTGCTCTTCAAGCGATGCTGTCACAGCTGAAGGAGGAGGAGGAAGAGGATGAAGAGAAGTATTGTGATGTAGAAGAAGAACAGGTTGAAGATGAAGAACTAGAAGAGGAGCATTACTTTAGTGACAGCTGGGAAATCTGAACAGACTCGTGATTTATATTTAGGTGCCTGTGAAAGTCTGTTTTCATACTGTCATCTTGCACTGAGCTCTAGCACTTAAAGAGAATAGTTCATCTTTTTCTACTTTCATCTACTTGCCCACATGTCATTTCAAAAGCATTTGCCCTATGTTTACTCTATGCTACGTTTTAGTCTTTTGTTGAGGTTGCCAGTACAAACCACTATCCACTAGGGCTGTAAAAAAAAAAATTCGAATTTCGAATATTCGCCGAATAAACAAAAAAAAAACACATTCGAATGCAAAAACGTTGATCTAGAGGGACGTCTATCAGCGTTGCACTCGCGTCTCGCACAAGAGAGCGGCGTGTTTAGAAAGCCATGTAAAATTAATGCAAGTTCAACTTTTAAAAAACATGTCTAAAAGACGTTATGGTGGTTTTTCCCCATTCCACTGTATCTCATGTTTTTAAATGAAGAAAGTAGCCTACTCTTTGTGATTGCTTTTCGGTCCTTTGTATTAAACTATACATACATGCATGGTGCTGTTTTTTTTTGTAATTGTTTAAGCAACTTTATTTATTATATATGGTTTATAAACATTATTTGAAACATTATGCACTTTTTTTCAAAGATAGTCGTGTTATTTTATTACGCTTTGAAGAAACGGTCATAATATTTTGCTCGATGCGCCCTCTTGTGGCCTCAGGAGAGAAGCCAAAATCTTAGAATTCTGATATTTAAGTAGAAAATTCGAATTTAGTTTTTACTATCCACTTTCATTGAAAAGTTTCATTAATTTTTGTTTCATGCAAGTGAGAAAATAGTGTTTGGAATGACATGTGGGTGAGTAAATGTTGACAAATAACATTTTTGGGTGAATTATTTCATGATTAGGACCACTAACCGTGTACATCTTGTCAGGAGTTGCCTTAAAATACAAAATATAACTGGTATCAGTGTTGCCAACCACTATTTTATTCTTATCCTGTTTATTTATTTAACTTACTATATTTTTCAGCTGTTTCTTATGCTGATACGTCACATTGCAGAGGCCTGATTTGGGAGCTTCAAGTTATTTTAGTATATTTAACAGCATGGCATCCTATTTATTTATTTAAACTGCTTTGATATATCATTATTATTAAAAAAAATATATGTCTGGGACCAATTTGTTTTGTAGGTATAAAGACCAATAAATCTGAAAAAAGTAAATGGAAACGTACTTGTCAGTTCAGACTATGAGCTCAGGATTGAAATGTAGCTTCCTCAACTCATTTCCGCCGTCCAATTGAACTCTGAACAGTGTTTTCAGGTTCATGACAGACGTATGTGGTGCTTTGACTGTAACGACTGTATTTCTGTCCTGCTGATGTTCTGTGAATTATAAGGGCCATGTAGCATCAAGAGCCTTTTTTTAAACATTTTTTTTAATCATCTCCTTATTTGAAGCAGAAGCAGGTGTTTTTTTTTTAAGTCTTAATATATTTTACTTTTTAAACAAAGCACTTTTAAAATGTAAGCTGTTTTTGTCTTTGTTACCTGTGGATTTTCATCTGTAGTGAAAATGTCGTTCGTTTGTTTGTACTAATCCCATGAATGTATATTTGCATGTTCATCATCTGGTTTTACTGACCAGTTTTTTTTTTGTTTTTTTTCCCCAATACTTAAGTTGTTAGTATGATACTTTTCTGGTTTTTAAATACATTAGATACCCCTGCAAAAATGCTTTTGTATTTTTTCCCCCACAAAACACCCAAGTTTAGTTAGTAAAATAGACGACACAAAATGCTAACAACAGGCGTCTTAAATGCTTAAAGTCATAATGAAAAGACATTCACCATCCTTTTGTGTAATATGAATTGGAACAGATTTGGAGAAATGTAGCATTGCATCAGTGTCTCACCACTGGATGCTCTGCAATGAATGGGTGCCGTCAGAATGAGAGTCCAAACAGTTGATAAAAACATCACAATAATCCACAAGTAATCCACAGCACTCCAGTCCATCAGTTAACATCTTGTGAAGCCAAAAGTTGTGTATTTGTATATTTGTTTTGGACTGTTTTAGCTTGTAAACGGTGCTTGATCTGTGCAAATTTCCCTCCTGATTCAGACCAGAAGACTTTTTCTATGGAGGAAGTGTTATTGTGGATAGAGGACTTGTATTTTAGCCAGAATCAACAGTTTTAAACGTCTTAATGATGGACTCGTTTCTTACAAACACGGCTTTTGGCTTCACAAGATGGACTGGAGTGGTGTGGATTACTTGTGGATTATTGTGATGTTTTTATCAGCTGTTTGGACTCTCATTCTGACGGCACCCATTCACTGCAGAGGATCCATTGCTGAGACACTGATGCAATGCTACATTTCTCCGAATCTGATGAAGAAACAAACTCATGGATGGCCTGAGGGGGAGTACATTTTCAGCAAATCTTCATTTTTGGGTAAACTGTTCCTTTAACAATCTATCTGAAACCATTGAGTTTGATCAGATGAGCATCACATCATTTCTCAACAATGCACACATCCAGCAGCAGGCTTATGAGCGGCACATGCATCATCTGGAGGCGGGTCACATGCGGCACCTGCACCGTTCAGTGGACGGGTACAATCTTGTCTCCTAATCGAATCTTTGGTTATGCCACGTTGCCGATGCTCAGGTGGATTCGTTTCGCCCTTCGCTATGGAAACAGACCGGTTGATGTGTTTGCAGTACACACATCATGTAGAACTGCTTCTTATTTTGCGCTTATTTACTTAAGGAAATGTAAAGTAGGTTCTTAGATGTCTTTATATACGTTCACGTGATTAACAGAAGTTGACGTGATTGTTATTGGCATTTCATGTCTAAACCACTGATCTAAATATCACATTATTGTGGTCGCTTCAACCCGCGGCAAGGTAGCAGTGTTAAAGTAGTAGTGATGTCCGGTTCGCGAACGAATCGTTATTTTTAACCGGTTCTTTTCAGTGAACCGCTCGAACCAGTTCACCAAATCGGTCTGAATCGTTCGAAACAGTTCGCATCTCCAGTAAGCAAACACTAAGCCACATTTACTAAAGTTACTCACTTTTTGACGTGCCTGACACTCCCTCTGACTCGAAATAAACCAACATCCCAGAGTTATTCTGTTAGTCCAACAGTTCACTGACTTAACCTGCTGTAAAGAGAGAACTGATGATGATGATGAGCACGAGCAGCTGATACTGCTGAGTGAGCATGCGCGGCGCACACGAATGAACGTACACGGCCTGTCACGGTTCTCGTTCTCGAGTCAAGAATCGGTTGCAATGGTTTTCGGATCATCAGTACACAACCGAGAACTGTTTCTTTCGGACATGTCCGATTTGAGAACCGATGAACCGATGATACTGCGCATGCGTGTGGTTTTCCAAGAGAACGAAAAGCACATTAGTCAAGTTTTGTTGAACATCGGAAAGTGTGATAATATAAAACATACTGGAAATGTTTTCATGACTTAATTACAGTCTTATCACTGTATGATCATGTGATTGAAGCAATTGATGGTGGAGCAAGAGAAACATTTTTAAAGTATTTATTTATTTATTTAAAAGATTAATGTATCTGTGTGTCTTAAAGGACTTTGTGTAAGCTATTTAATTGAGGATTCTGTTAAAGGGGTTTTTATGATCTCGGTTAGGGGTGTTGGACCATAATAATTGAGACGCTATGTTTAACAGGAAACAAGGGATGATTTATGAAATACCTGTAGGCCTACTGTCATTATAGTTAATGATGAAGCATTCATAAATTGAGTTTGTATTAAATAAACAATGTTTTAATAAAATTGTATTAAAGTGTTCAAACAATACAACAATTTTAACAAAGAACAACTGCTGGAAAAGTGCATTTACACACTGTAATTAACTCTAAATGTTTTACACACTATATTTAACAGGTACTGCCTGTTGTTTGTAAATTACAAAAGTTATTGTGCATTATAAAAAAAAAACAAATGTTGAAAAAAAAGTGCAAAGGCAGTTTTAAACAGAGGTTTTAACCACTGTAGTGAAAAGCTGTAACAATATGCAGCTTGACCCTCTCTTATGAGGGTAGGTTTGAATTCAGAAAAACAATCTGCCTAACTTTGTTAGGACTCAGTCTGTTTCGTCTTTCTGAAATAATCTGACCTGTTTTCGAAAACACTCTCTCTGATGGCACAGATGTAGCAACTATGCAAAGCCTCCTTTTCATGACAGCTGTCAACCCTTCATATACTGCTTGCCTTGCTTTCCACCAAGCCAGTGGGTCTTCCGTTCTTGGAATCAAGGTCTCTGCAAGATACCCTCTCATTTCGGCCACTGCGGTGGATGTTGGGTTGCTGATGCTGACTGCATCAGCTACTCTTTCATCAAAATCCTCCCAGATTGAAGATTGCTGTTCAGAAGACGGAGGGGCTGGAGGAGATGTGTGCTCAGCTTGAGTTTGCTCATCTGTACTGGACCAAACCCTTGCAGCAGCTGCACTTATGCTTTTGGCTGCGTCATCTGCTGCAGCAGCATCATGAAAGGCCCTTTGCTTAAATCTGGGGTCAAGAAGGGTAGCCTCAGAAAGCAGACGAAAATGCTCTATGTTGTGGAAGCGATTTTGCATGTCCTCAGCCAGTGTGTTCATCATTGCAATAACTGGGCCATGTTTAGACACAGCACCCCGCAATCCAGACCTGGCAACCCTGATACCAAAGTCAATGAAAAGGGTTGGTGTTGTTCTTATTGGCTCAACCAATGGCGTGACTTGTGGGCGGGGCTACATGTATGTCTGACCAACCTACTCAGCATTGTTATTATCATTATTTGTATACTGTCTTTTTTTTTTTTTTGCATTTCAATTTTAGTATAAGTTTTAGTGATTTTATGTGCTTTTATCATTATTATTATTATTATTATTATTATAATTATTTAAATAGCAGGTCATATGGGTTTTCGAAAAATATCTTTTTTGCAGTTTGTAAGGTAGCTATCCATCAATGTAAACAGTCTGCAAAGTTGTTAATCAAAAAAGTGCATGATAAATAAAGATATTGTCTCTCAAAAGGAAGAGTCGACTCTGAACCGCCTTAACGAGTCGTCACCTATATACGTCACAAGGTAACACATTTACATAATCCCCGCCTGCCCCCGTAATACGAACACTCTGACCGGCCCACAAACCAGTGTTGCCAAGTCTGTGGTTTTCCCGCGGAATTGAGCTACTTTAACGTGGTTGCCGTGGGTTTTTCATGTCTGCAGGTTGAAGCGACTCCAATAACATGATATTTATCCCCTGG